GTATTGATCTTTGTTAACAAAGCTCCTATTATCTGGTATTCGAAAAAGCAGAACAGTGTCGAGACAAGCAGTTTTGGTTCTGAGTTTTCTGCTCTAAAGACAGGTGTTGAATTACTTGAGGGACTACAATTCAAGCTCAGAATGATGGGCGTCCCAATCCAAGGTTATTGTCATACTTGCATTGACAATATGTCCGTTGTCAAGAACTCAAGTGTTCCTGAATCTCAATTGAAAAAGAAATTGAATGCTGTCGCATATCACTACGTTCGTTCCAGATGCGCAATTGATATCCTACAAATTGAATGGATCATTTCTGCTGAGAACTTGGCCAATGTTTTAACCAAGATCCAACCTGGACCTGTTTGTGACCGTCTTATTGAACACATCATGTGGAAAGCAAAGTAAAATGGAAAACTTGCTCTTTTTATTTAATTTTTGGAAACGTCTTCATCCGTCGCCGGATATTGTCAGTCTTGGACAGTATTGGATGATATGTCCTCCCAAGAGGGGGTACGGTTGATATTAGCCCAATTCGGAGTACAAGATTCTCTGATACATCAGTATCACCTTGAGGGGACCGTTAATTGGACCAGAGAGTGTCCGTCATTTGTATGTATATAGTTTAACCTAGAGATTCGCACACATCTTGTAAAATCCCCATGTTTGTCATCGTACTCGTTTTTGTCCCACATCTCTTGTACCTCGCTACTCAATACAACGCTCCCTCACCTTGGACCATCTCTCCCGCAGTTCGCCCAGCCTTCTTGGCCCAACAGGTCATTGACTCGCAAGGACTCTTGGAATGTTGCATAGCCTCGCATTGGTTACCGCTCCAACAACAATATTTTGACAAGATTAGATGTTGCCGCTCTGTCTCTTTATGGGCTTCCCGCCTCTTCCAACAGTTGATCTTGCTTGGCTTCTACATGTGGCAACAGCGGAATGCCATCCAGCATTCGGACAATAACGTTCAGCTACACAAACGTCACTGTACAGTAAATGAGGGGATTCACTCTCAGTTTGATATGGGTCCCAATGACTTGCCTCCGGAAATCAAGCCAATGCTCTCATGTTGTCATCGAGTTCTGCGCAAGTTATTGATGGACAAGGAAGCGTGGCTTACGTTGCTTTGTCAGGAGCGCAGACAGTACCGTCGCGCCATGAAAGCACAAGTAGTTTTCGGACTTTCTTCTCCTCCAGACCCTGACCAACCTTTTGTGGGACCTTATGTGCCCCAAATTCACCCCGCCTTGTCGCGGGAGAAGTCCTTTCCTCCTGGTTGGACTTGAGGAACTTCTGCCTTATACAGATGCCTCACATGGTTCAAACTTGTTGTTGACTCACCGCTTCACAGTACTTGACCTTTACAGCTGAAAGTTTACCGGCAATTGAATGCCCATAGAGTAGCATGTAACCAATTAATGTCTCCGTTAGGATTCCTGACAAGCAATACTTTAAGATTGTTTTTCAACTTGATGTATCTGTATTGACGCAAGTCTCTGTCTGGCTTCATGAAGTCTTCTGATTCTACCAAGACCTCGGTTTCATTTGATGCAGATTGCGCCCCCACAAAACCCTCCGAAGTTCCAGCAAGAGCTTTGGCAGAAATTGTGATGCCGTGAACATTATCTGGTGATGCGACGGAAAAGAGCTAAGACCTTTCCATAAAGATTGTAATAGTGGTTTGTTTGAGAAACATTGTCCTGCAGATGCACACAGAAACAAAAGGCTGATTTTCATGCCGTGAATTATTATCATTTCCACAGACTAGGTGGAGATGGACACGCATCGATCTCCCCATCAGAGATCGCTCAATTCGTCTCCCATCAGAAGACGAAAACACAACAAACTTGCAGATCGGATCCACAGCGCTCTCGCAAGCTACTGAGCTCTCATCAAGCTCACATTCTCGCAGTCGTGCACATCTCCGACTGCAGCGATTGTCCTTCAGAAATTTTACCTGGCTCGTCTTCCATCAGAGACGAGGACAATCAACATTTTGGAATTCGTCTTCCCAACAAAGACGAACAACACAACAACTCGCGGATCGACTTTCAGCGTTTCGCAAGTTCCCTTTTTTGGGCTCCCATCAAGCCCATCCCACCGTTCGATTTGAATTAATTTCTGAGGCATAGTACTCATACGATTTAATTCGAACGAAGAACTCGGTTTCTACAGGCGCCCGAGTTATTTTTCAAGGTTCGGGACGACACAATTTGGAGTGCTCGGCTAGTAGCGGCCCTATCGCGATAGTCGTAAGATATTGGAGTTTTATTTATTTATCGATCGCTATCGATACAGCGTTGAGTGTCGCCAACTCGTGCTGCCCCCGGTGTTCTCAACCCCGCTGATATTCTCAGCAAGCATTGGGGCCATCAGCAAATCTGGCCACTATTACGGACTCTAATGTTCTGGTCTGGTGATACTGCTGATCAAGAGGAATAGGTCCTCTCACTTTGCCCCATTTGGGGAGTGACAGAATTCTAGGATTACCAGGTTGAAGTGTAGCCTGTGCCTTGCACGCGTTGCACGTGCATGAACTGTTACACGCCAGTGATTTAGTAAAGAGAATGCTGAGTCATCAGCGTTCTGCGATAATTCTAGAGATTCGCGTGGAAAAGTGATCAACGATCGCTTTTCTCACTGCACGTTGTTTTACCTGAATTGATCTTTATCTTCTTGTGAAATAGCAGTCGCACTATAGGCTTTAAGTCTATTCATCTATATTCATTCATTTCTGTCAGATTAACAGTCGCAGTTACGCCTACAGCTAACTGCATCGATCTCCCCATCAGAGATCGCTCAATTCGTCTCCCATCAGAAGACGAAAACACAACAAACTTGCGGATCGGATCCACAGCGCTCTCGCAAGCTACTGAGCTCTCATCAAGCTCACATTCTCGCAGTCGTGCACATCTCCGACTGCAGCGATTGTCCTTCAGAAATTTTACCTGGCTCGTCTTCCATCAGAGACGAGGACAATCAACATTTTGGAATTCGTCTTCCCAACAAAGACGAACAACACAACAACTCGCGGATCGACTTTCAGCGTTTCGCAAGTCCCCTGTTTTGGGCTCCCATCAAGCCCATCCCACCGTTCGATTTGAATTAATTTCTGAGGCATAGTACTCACACGATTTAATTCGAACGAAGAACTCGGTTTCTACAGGCGCCCGAGTTATTTTTCAAGGTTCGGGACGACACAATTTGGAGTGCTCGGCTAGTAGCGGCCCTATCGCGATAGTCGTAAGATATTGGAGTTTTATTTATTTATCGATCGCTATCGATACAGCGTTGAGTGTCGCCAACTCGTGCTGCCCCCGGTGTTCTCAACCCCGCTGATATTCTCAGCAAGCATTGGGGCCATCAGCAAATCTGGCCACTATTACGGACTCTAATGTTCTGGTCTGGTGATACTGCTGATCAAGAGGAATAGGTCCTCTCACTTTGCCCCATTTGGGGAGTGACAGAATTCTAGGATTACCAGGTTGAAGTGTAGCCTGTGCCTTGCACGCGTTGCACGTGCATGAACTGTTACACGCCAGTGATTTAGTAAAGAGAATGCTGAGTCATCAGCGTTCTGCGATAATTCTAGAGATTCGCGTGGAAAAGTGATCAACGATCGCTTTTCTCACTGCACGTTGTTTTACCTGAATTGATCTTTATCTTCTTGTGAAATAGCAGTCGCACTATAGGCTTTAAGTCTATTCATCTATATTCATTCATTTCTGTCAGATTAACAGTCGCAGTTACGCCTACAGCTAACTGCATCGATCTCCCCATCAGAGATCGCTCAATTCGTCTCCCATCAGAAGACGAAAACACAACAAACTTGCGGATCGGATCCACAGCGCTCTCGCAAGCTACTGAGCTCTCATCAAGCTCACATTCTCGCAGTCGTGCACATCTCCGACTGCAGCGATTGTCCTTCAGAAATTTTACCTGGCTCGTCTTCCATCAGAGACGAGGACAATCAACATTTTGGAATTCGTCTTCCCAACAAAGACGAACAACACAACAACTCGCGGATCGACTTTCAGCGTTTCGCAAGTCCCCTGTTTTGGGCTCCCATCAAGCCCATCCCACCGTTCGATTTGAATTAATTTCTGAGGCATAGTACTCACACGATTTAATTCGAACGAAGAACTCGGTTTCTACAGGCGCCCGAGTTATTTTTCAAGGTTCGGGACGACACAATTTGGAGTGCTCGGCTAGTAGCGGCCCTATCGCGATAGTCGTAAGATATTGGAGTTTTATTTATTTATCGATCGCTATCGATACAGCGTTGAGTGTCGCCAACTCGTGCTGCCCCCGGTGTTCTCAACCCCGCTGATATTCTCAGCAAGCATTGGGGCCATCAGCAAATCTGGCCACTATTACGGACTCTAATGTTCTGGTCTGGTGATACTGCTGATCAAGAGGAATAGGTCCTCTCACTTTGCCCCATTTGGGGAGTGACAGAATTCTAGGATTACCAGGTTGAAGTGTAGCCTGTGCCTTGCACGCGTTGCACGTGCATGAACTGTTACACGCCAGTGATTTAGTAAAGAGAATGCTGAGTCATCAGCGTTCTGCGATAATTCTAGAGATTCGCGTGGAAAAGTGATCAACGATCGCTTTTCTCACTGCACGTTGTTTTACCTGAATTGATCTTTATCTTCTTGTGAAATAGCAGTCGCACTATAGGCTTTAAGTCTATTCATCTATATTCATTCATTTCTGTCAGATTAACAGTCGCAGTTACGCCTACAGCTAACTGCATCGATCTCCCCATCAGAGATCGCTCAATTCGTCTCCCATCAGAAGACGAAAACACAACAAACTTGCGGATCGGATCCACAGCGCTCTCGCAAGCTACTGAGCTCTCATCAAGCTCACATTCTCGCAGTCGTGCACATCTCCGACTGCAGCGATTGTCCTTCAGAAATTTTACCTGGCTCGTCTTCCATCAGAGACGAGGACAATCAACATTTTGGAATTCGTCTTCCCAACAAAGACGAACAACACAACAACTCGCGGATCGACTTTCAGCGTTTCGCAAGTCCCCTGTTTTGGGCTCCCATCAAGCCCATCCCACCGTTCGATTTGAATTAATTTCTGAGGCATAGTACTCACACGATTTAATTCGAACGAAGAACTCGGTTTCTACAGGCGCCCGAGTTATTTTTCAAGGTTCGGGACGACACAATTTGGAGTGCTCGGCTAGTAGCGGCCCTATCGCGATAGTCGTAAGATATTGGAGTTTTATTTATTTATCGATCGCTATCGATACAGCGTTGAGTGTCGCCAACTCGTGCTGCCCCCGGTGTTCTCAACCCCGCTGATATTCTCAGCAAGCATTGGGGCCATCAGCAAATCTGGCCACTATTACGGACTCTAATGTTCTGGTCTGGTGATACTGCTGATCAAGAGGAATAGGTCCTCTCACTTTGCCCCATTTGGGGAGTGACAGAATTCTAGGATTACCAGGTTGAAGTGTAGCCTGTGCCTTGCACGCGTTGCACGTGCATGAACTGTTACACGCCAGTGATTTAGTAAAGAGAATGCTGAGTCATCAGCGTTCTGCGATAATTCTAGAGATTCGCGTGGAAAAGTGATCAACGATCGCTTTTCTCACTGCACGTTGTTTTACCTGAATTGATCTTTATCTTCTTGTGAAATAGCAGTCGCACTATAGGCTTTAAGTCTATTCATCTATATTCATTCATTTCTGTCAGATTAACAGTCGCAGTTACGCCTACAGCTAACTGCATCGATCTCCCCATCAGAGATCGCTCAATTCGTCTCCCATCAGAAGACGAAAACACAACAAACTTGCGGATCGGATCCACAGCGCTCTCGCAAGCTACTGAGCTCTCATCAAGCTCACATTCTCGCAGTCGTGCACATCTCCGACTGCAGCGATTGTCCTTCAGAAATTTTACCTGGCTCGTCTTCCATCAGAGACGAGGACAATCAACATTTTGGAATTCGTCTTCCCAACAAAGACGAACAACACAACAACTCGCGGATCGACTTTCAGCGTTTCGCAAGTCCCCTGTTTTGGGCTCCCATCAAGCCCATCCCACCGTTCGATTTGAATTAATTTCTGAGGCATAGTACTCACACGATTTAATTCGAACGAAGAACTCGGTTTCTACAGGCGCCCGAGTTATTTTTCAAGGTTCGGGACGACACAATTTGGAGTGCTCGGCTAGTAGCGGCCCTATCGCGATAGTCGTAAGATATTGGAGTTTTATTTATTTATCGATCGCTATCGATACAGCGTTGAGTGTCGCCAACTCGTGCT